TGAAGACCACATGCAAAAATTCAGCTAATTTGGAGCAAGAAAAACGAAAAGCAACCAAAATCGTCACTTATCCCCTTTTATGACTAGCTTCTTCATATAATGTTGTAAAATATTCTTGTGAAAGCAGGCTTTCCCTATCTCATATAGAAAAATCTCCAGCAAATGAACGTTGATCCATGAATAGACATTTAATTTAAGGCGGCTTACTACAGTTTTTTTGGACACTAATAGCACACGCTATGATTGCTTGCCAAATGTCAGTATTAAATGCTAGTGCACAAATGACACAAGCAACCCCAAGAAGAAACGAAAACCACTTCAGCACTTGAAAGGTGTTAAATCACTTGAGTATACGTGGCAATAGCTTCAAACTTTGTTCAAAGACATGTTTAAGACTAGCGCCAAAAAAATATGACAAAAAAAACTCGATAAATAACCGGTAAAAGAGCTCTAAATTACTCTTGCTTTCTCGCACGCGGTACATTGCGCCAGATGAGCGTGCGCTTAAATAAAGGGCATGCGCAATTCAATTGCTCAAAAAGGATTGCTCAAAAAGCTACTGTACAACTCATGATGAAATTTTCACAATCAATTTGTAGGGTTGAATCGCGTTTCGAGCCAAATTTTTAAAAAAATCTGTACGACAGATTTTGAGCTATTTTTTATTTCATATTTTCTGAGTTTGCGAAAAATCTGTCTTACAGATTTTTATCTTACTTTGCATGAAAGTTAATCAGAACCAATTTCTTATTCCTGAAATTTTGAGGTGGAGTCATACCGGTAGATTCTGAGAAAAACATGATTTAACCTACTAGTGCCCAGTCTCTCCTCAGGCACTCGGTCGTTCATTTTGGCCATTTGTTGACATTTAATTGTTCAAGTTGCTTATAGAATGGTAAAAGACTTAAGTAAAAGTAAATTTAGAAAGGAAAAACATCTTGGAACATTTTTTAAAGAGTTAGAAGTTGGGCTGTAATAATGCATCAAAACTGTAGTAAGCCGCTTTAAACATGGTTCTATAGGTGCCCATCAGTAAAAGCACATTGTTACTAGCATATTTTTATTTCTAATACTTACAAGAGGTGAAACATAATCTACATTCTGGTCTTGTAAGTTTTTGGAAATCACACCTATGGAAAGAAATATGAAGGAAATAAAAGTTAAAATATACTATCCATACACAGGGTCAAGTTGCATAGATCAGTATAGAGTCAACTCTCTCCTTGTGGACACCCCACTATTGGTATTTAGTATCACCCAACTAGTGGACTAATGCAAATCCTGCATTTTGATTGGCTACGCTACTAGGGGAC